GTGCTTTCTTTTCACCCAGACCTTTGTAGAGATGGAACTGACATATCCAAGGTACCAAATTTTCCTAATGTGATTGTCTTACCGATACACCCAGTTGACAAGTTCCAGGAATTGAGCATTGAGGTCAGCATCATCAGGAAATCTCTTCTCCACATACTGCATGAGTTTGACCAGTAAGACTGACTTCTCTCGTGGAGATGGTGACTGGTTCATCATAAGGGGTGTCTGATGAAGTACAAATCTCTAATCAATGTTAGTCTGTTTGTATCATGCCGGTCTTTATACACAATTTTCCTTTCAAACCTGGAAATTTTTCCCTAAATTTGATTTCAATTAAAATCCACCAAAGGACTGACAAAGCTGTTGTAATTTTCACCTGAATAACAGCACAAATATTCCCTTAGAAAAGCACATCCAATAATGGTACGTGTGCAGATCAAACCATGTTTCTTGTTTGGATAAACAACACTTTATGTAACATAAAGTGACTTTCTCTGTTTCTTTTATTAAATATCCATCTTGACCACAACTCTCCACAGTGCCATAAGTGGCACTAAAGTCTGCACATTTTACACTTAAAAAGGTTACCTTTCAGTACCAGATCATCTAGTACATGTATTTGGAGACGAGAGGTCTGACTGGAATTTGGAAAGATTACCATGGTTACTGTTTGTGCAATACCCAAGCTGTAACACCTTTTTGCAGTGGTAACCAGACATACCAACAGACTGGGACTCTAACTTGAGCAAACTCTGGACCTATTTGAATCCAACTGTGCTCCTTTCCTGCTAAACTTTTGACTACTGAATGGCTGTTTCCTGGAAGACTTTGTGGTTCTTTTCTTCCTCAAAGATCATCACTAAATTTACGATACATCAAAGTCTGCAATGTTTTTCAAAAAAGTTGGCTGAGAAATGTATAGTTTCACACTAAACTGGCCACAGTCTCGTGTAGTTACGTCAGACCAAATGTATCGTATGCATTGTGCTTCAAATCAGCCAGGCTTTATGTCCATTGATAGACACAAAACCACATGTACCAGTGCATCAGTGAAAGTGATGTCATGGATGGGACATTTGACCAAGATTCAATACATCCCTCAGCTTACCTTGGCTTTGACCCATTCCTCTACCATCTTGACCACTGTCTTCATAACCTTAGCATCTGGAGACTTCTCTATTAGTTGTGTTAGGACCACCTGGATGAAGTTCCTTCTCATATCAGTACTCATTACACCAATACGATTCTTGACCAGATCTAAACTGATGATCAGGAGTTCTGATGCCACTGCAATCAATAATCCAAGTATCAACGGTTAGGTGTGTATGATGGGCTGTCTCGTGGTGTGTAATCAACAGCATTAAATCCTTTCATAGTTTGATCAGTGTTCGGACTGAACAAAAATCTTCAACTGTTTGTAATACTTCTTCATGACTTCAATGCATGGATTACAAGTTCCCAATATGCAGTTCAAGAAACTGCTGTGAATTTCAAACACTATCAATTGTCTATTTGACAGCAATAATTACTACAGCATTCACAACCGTTAGCTGTCAGTGAGTGTGCAGTTAACTTAAACCAATATAGTAAACTTAAATGTGTAAATGTACATCCCCTGCAACAAAAGTCATATCACTTAACAAAGAGTTTACAAGGATCAGCTTGGTCCTCTCTCAATCCCTTTTAAACTACACAGGAAGCTAACTAGGTGCTTACATGTAATTATAAAGATGAACAAAGAAATTGACTGGAGCGGGATTTGAACCTGTGACCTCTGAAATACCGTACCATTGCTCTACCAACTGTGCTATCCAGCCCTACATTGGTGGCTCTTTGAGTTTTTATTGTTTGCATGTAACACATTTAATATGAGGACACATTTAGGCTGAAGTAGAGTTTTAAACAATGTTGTGCCATGTATGGAAGTAATCCTCAATCCTTCAGCCGTTGGAAAATTGAGGACTGTTAAGGTTAATGTAGAATCATAGATTGACATGAGCATACATGAGGTGGACTCCGAGCTACTTGGTGTTAGATGTTCTCTAGTCATCTTCTGTAATGCTCTCATGAAGACAGAGATGAGTCGATCAATGTAGGCAATGTTGTTAGTACAAGCTGCCTTGAGAATCATCAAGGTTCCAAACAGACTTGTGGTTGGTGTACCGCTGGCTGCTCTAAAATGCAACAGAAAATCAAGAGAAATGTTTTCAGCTTGTCAGTGTCTTTAACAGATTCAAATATGCATATGTACTTCTGCACTGTAACATCAACAGATTCTGGGTAATTACTGGTCACTCTTACTATTTCCCACTCCAAAAATCACAGAGGGATAAAGAAGGACAACAGAAACCTATTTCTTTCCCTGCAGCAATCGTGCACTTTTCAAAAAGATATGTACACCTCTTAAAAGATGTTGTACTCTTCTTAAAAAAATAAAAACATGGGGATATCAGTAGATAGCACTAAGTAATCTATAATAACAGCCCCAGTGTTAAGGATAGACCATATGCATGGACTCCTTCTGGAGGTTATGGTACAGAATGCGTAGGATTAATTTTCATCTGAATGTCCACAAACTCCTGGCATCCCTTTGTGAGCACGAGGTTCCTAAAGCCAACAATGTTCAAATGTCTGTAGTGTATCGCCCATTTGCAACATGTACAGACTCCATAGAGTTTAAGAGCTCAGCTACTTTTGCATTACGGATCAAGTTGACTTACTTCTCATATGCAGTCAATCCTTCATAGATGACTTTCCCAACACTTGCATACAAACACTCTAGCTCCTCATACTTAGAAGCCACATTGGACGTACCTGCACAGAAGTAAAAAACTCAACAATTACACAACACTTAGAATTTCTCACTTAGTCCACCACATGTTCTGTTTGTAAACATTCTGTTCCCACTGAACATTGCATATGAACCACACTGTATTCTACAAGTAGTCTCAATTATTTTGACAAGGTGAGAGCAATTGAAGCTTACAAATATATCACGTAAACAGGAAAAATGCAATATAGGTAAAACCTTGACGACAGCCTGTTGAAAGACCACTGATAAAATTTTACTTTGGGAAAAAAGCAAATGGTAACATTGGTTTTGATTTTTTAGAGCCACTGAGTTTTTTTCTTTGGCATTTGATACTGCATTGCAAATGGTATGTACAATGTCACATTATACAATCAACTCCCGTTATTACGAGGGCCGGTGGACTTTCACAATTCTGTCGTTATAGCCGGAGCGTCGTTAAAACCGGAGCCCAATTTTTCACACTCATTTTGCACAAGTTTATAGCCACGTACATGTCTGTTGTAATCATGTACAGGTACAACGATACCGCACGCCGAACACATGAAAAGACGATATTATGTGTCTCTCATAGATGCTGAATTTTTATCTAATGTTGATGAATAAAATGATATAAATAAAGTACATTTAAAAGTCAAATATTTGACAACCTGGATCAGAAGAAGCTGAGAAGAATAGCCGAGTGAGAAGAAACATTCAAGTCGGTGCCGGTATGTACATGTACGTCACATGTCCTGAGTCCAGTGTACGTTTTGCTTTCGTCATGACTTGGCTAAAACCAGTCAAAAGAGGGTGCCACTATTACCAGTGGGTCCGGGGTTTTTGTTGAGATGTAGATGAAATTATTTTTCTAGTGGAATTTTTCTTTTATACATGCAAATAATAGCTTCGGATTATGTTGATGCTTTTTGTAGGGCATATTTTCCTGCACCTGTTTTAAGGGGGATGCGTTTCACATTAGATTTGCATTTAATGAAATGGGACAAGAGAGGGCGCAATGTCATTGATTAAAGATCAACGAGATGAAACAACATTACGTTGAAGTTCTTACAAAGGTGCATTGATAAGGCCTTGACAGACTGGGAAAACGTGTGATGCCCGAATCGGGACAAAAGGTTTGTGATTGACAGCTGGGGATAATACGGTTTGGAAAAAAGTCGCTTGTAAATGGGTTGGGAACAATACTTTTGCTCGCATGGGATCGGCACAAATCGTCGTTATAGGCAGAGTCTCGCGATATCCGTGAACGTAATAACCAAATATTTCTCCATAGCAATGAACACAAATTGTTCAGGACTGGGAGAATATGCTCATTGCATCCGGGTTATCGTTATGACCGAGCTCGTAATAATGGGAGTCTACTGTATCAGGCAAACAATCCCAACATGGGACAGAAACATGACATGCTGACTTTCACAAGGTAGCCTCCGCCAAAATATTGACAACATATTGGACACTGCTGTTAATCTATGGGAACAATGTTAATGAACAATTCAAGAGAATTACTAGTTCCATTGCAACCAATAAACTGTTAAGACACTAATACTCCTCAATGACACTACAACACTTACTTGACTCAGTAGGGAAGGTGTTCATAAGTTTGACTAGAAGAGCATGTACTGACCGAATCACCTTGGTGTTAGCACATGTCAAGCATGCTGCAATGCCTCGTTGGAGTGGTTTCAAACTGGTCAGAATCACTTGCTTGGTCTGCAAACAATGTCAAGAGCACTAGGATACTAAACAATTACCTGAAGCAAAACGTACATCATTTAGGGAAAACAAACATTCAGCAGTTAGCTTCAAAAAACTTTCGGCAACAACACCACTTCAAGTGATAGCATTAACAATGGTTCTGACAAAAGAATTTTTTTCAGATGAATAGAGTTACAAGCTTTGTTTAAACTGAAATACTAAATTACAAAATACTAAAGCACAAAAGGAAAGCACATTGTATCTGAATGGAACATACCATGACTCCAAGGAGGAAGTTGAGCATATCTAGCCCAGCACAAATGTTACCATAGTTGGCCTGAGCTGGCTGATCCTAACAAGGATTGAAATGTTCAAATAGATAATAACCAAGACAAATCAGAACAATTCAGTGAAACAAATTCACAAATACTGCTATATCCTATGCTGAATTATTGTGTGAAAAGGCAGGCAGTCAGTCAGTGAACAGCTGTTGCAATGAAAGTCACCAAAAAAACCTTGACACTGACCTCCTGCGAGTTTAGGTTGTGTCCAAATGACTTGACTGTGGCTTTAAATTACATAGCCATCCATAGGAAGTGGCTGCAACCACTGCCATACACTCATGTGTAATTTCAGGTCACAGCCAAGTCATTTGGACACAATAAGCAATAAACAACACACGATGATTTCATATTGGAGTACATGCATAATGAGTGTAGACACAGAAAGAAAAATGACAAAGACCAAGGTTGGATCGTGTCTTCAATAACACGGTTTCACTGATTTGAAACTTTCACAATTCAAGTTTAGAGAGATGAATCATACACAGAAATGACACAGCATAGGACTTGCAGCATACCACATGTACACAACATACAAAACATTTCATGTCTAGCAGGAATACACAAGCTCACAATGGATTTAATCCACCTCATACAAATGAAATCATAGTTTGACTCAAATGAAATCATAGTTTGACTCAAATGAAATCACAGTTTGACTCAAATGAAATCATAGTTTGACTCAAATGAAATCATAGTTTGACTCAAATGAAATCACAGTTTGACTCAAGGGCACAGGAAAATGAAAGAACTCCTGACTGCTGTGGCTTGGGATATTTAATTATTCCCTCTAGCAGAATGCATTGCATCCTTAGCTTTGCTTTTGAGTGCCCATGTGTCCTTGGAGTGAAAAACACAATGTTGCACATTGGCAGTTAACAATTGTTAACGTAGGCATGTACATTCATTACAAGTGGGGAATATAACTTGCTGAGTGCATAATTTGTTGGAGGAAAACCAGAAGCATAGACTTACAACAGATAAGAAGAGTTTGTCCATGAAGTTGAGTCTGAGTTCACTGTTTGGCCATACATCTGGTCTGAGTGCTATCTTGAGCAGTGCTATACAGCGTCGGGATAACAATTCACCCGGGGAACCTGTACTTGTAGTGCCAAGTTCATTGACTTGACAGGCTACACGAAGCAGAAAGTTGACCACGGCATCTGAGTAGATCTTATCAATGGGCTTGCTGGCTTCTGATGATATACTGCGAACACTCTGTGGAGGGCATCACAGTAAGTAATCAATTCATGTATTGACACGTTTCTTAACTTCAGTCTATTAGGATTTGAGCCACATCTGCCCTGTTATCTACCTAGAGGTATGATATGGTTCTGATGACACGATCAAGTAAGTGTTCTACTGTTTCATATCCAAGTTAAGAACAAAATTCACTTGAACACAAATCACCAAAAACCACTTCATTTCATTTCTCACCATATTAACCTTACCCCTTGACTTTCAAATGAATAAAATCTTTCTGTACAGGCAAATCCTCCGCACATGTTTCACTAGGAACACCCTCAATTGGTACACAAGACTTTTTCCAGTTAGTGAAATCTGACCTTTTAATCCCTAAAATTGTTGAAGCCTTTCTCCCTATTCCGGTAATCCTTTCCTATGCTAGGGGAATAAGGTTCATCACATCCAATGCAAGAGCTTTATACTGACCGTGCCTGAGGAGTGCCGTACCCTCTTAGGGTCAGGCATATGATCGCTAGAAGCAGCTCTCTTGACTCCCACAGGCATAGCAGTAGTGCTCTCCTCTGATGAAATGGCTTGGCCCTACAAAAGAACAAGAAAACAGCTTGAAATACCTCAGATACATTTTGCTAATGATTAAATCTTGTCACAAAGTACTCAACTGTATGAATTTGATGTCCACACTCTTAAATGAAATTCTCATTCTGTTCTCGCAATGCAGAAAGTTGAAGGACAAGTCTGCTTTACATAAGGCATGATGTCACAGAAGGGTCAATGTACTTCATTGACGAGTTAGCCATACTGAAGTGAAAGCAGAATAAATCCTTCATTTTCGGAGCTTGATAGTAGAAATGAAGAAGTCAAACATAATCTCAGAATAAATTAATACCTGTCTTATGAACAACTTAACATTTGTGATCAAACACAACATTTTTCAAACTGCATTTTTTAAATGAAAAGGAAATTTAGAACACAATCCTACTAGAAAACAGTCTGGTTACAATTTATAAGGTTTAGGGAACATGATGAAAAATGAATAAGGTCTATAGATTCCTGCACAGAAATTCAGTGTAGAAGACACGTGGCAGACATTGTGTGTCCATTACCTCTGAGCTTGCATCGTCCTCTTTGATTCGCTGGACCTCCCATTTGATAATGACTTCAACCAGGTCAACCACCAGCTTCCTGTGTTCCAAGGTAGTGTTGGGTGTACTCCCCAAGCGCTGGATGGAATATACCATTGTCTGGATGAGGTGATGCCGTACTGGGTAATATACTTTATGGTGACGAACAAGCAGTTGTCTGCAAAGATACAGTCACAAGAAATCACATAAAAGACAGTCAATCAAACCATGTTGTTTTGTTCTCTACCCAGGTTTGTATGTATAAAATGAAAAGACTAACATAGGAGAGATACACTATGGTTTTTACTACATCTCCAGCAAAATACAAATTGAAAGACAGAACTCACGACTACATAACTCATAACAAATACATACATGTGAATGTCGATGAGCCAATTTGGTTAGCAAAAAGGCAAATTTCAAGATGCATTTTGCGTTGGGGAGATGTTAATTTATAACGGGTTTTGCCCTTACCCAACATTACCCAACCCATTATAAATTAACATCTCCCTCACGCAAAATACATCTTGAAATAGTTCGCAGTACCCGCTGCTACACCTGACTTGGACCGGCCAGCCGACCACGGCAAGCTCGGTGGTCGAGTGGTTAAGACGTCTGCACTAGTAAGCAGGAGGTTGTGGGTTCAAGTCCCACCCGAGTAAGCTTGTGAATTTTTTCGCAAGCTCTCAGACAAGCACTGAGCATACAGTGTTTATTAATACATACGTTGGGTATGGGAAAACCTGTTACAAATCAAACAGGCAAAGTCATTCAAGAACAGAGCATGCCAATACAACCATGTTCATCACATAAGCATTACATGCAGCAGCAATCAGTAGGCCAACCTTGTGTGTGTATACTACTTTCCCCGAACATGCTTGACTTTGAATATGCACCACTAGGATATCAAACTAGCTCATGCTGTTCTGTTGACAGCATCGGATCAGGAATCCGAATCAGGAAGTCAAATCATTTACTGACACAGTATCAGATCAGGAATCCGAATCAGGAAGTCAAATCATGAA